TTATAAACTTAAAAAAGAAAAGAACCATCTACCAACTACAAGATGAAAATGGAGATTACCAATACACAATAGAAAAGAAAAAAGAGATTGCACATAAATATTTTGAGGATCTTTATAAGAAAGAAAGAGTAGATGAGGATCAGATTAGGGAGTATCTAAGAGAAAAAACCCGAGTAATAAAAGATGAATTGAAAGAAACTCTGACTAAGGATATAACTATGATGGAATTAAATCAAGCAAGTAGATCCCAGAAAAGTAACAAAACACCTGACCTCGATGGTTTTCCATCAGAATTTTATAAGATAATAGAAGAACAAGTAGGACCAATAATGGTTGATCTATACAATGAGGTATTAACATCAGCTAAAATGCCACATTCGTGGAGGGAAGCATTAATTTCGCTAATCCCGAAGGGGATACAGATGCCAGACGGATACAAAACTATAGACCAATTTCTTTGTTAAACGTAGATTATAAATTATTTGCTACTATTATTGCTAACAGATTAAAGAAAATTTTGAACGACTATATACACTTAAATCAAAATGGATTTCTTCCAAATAGACAAATCAGGAATAATTTCAGAATAATAATGGACAGTTTAGAATATTACGAAGCCCACCCAGAGAAACAAGTAGCCTTTGGAAGAAGGAAGAAAGGAAGGAAGGAAGGAAGGAAGGAAGGAAGGAAGGAAGGAAGGAAGGAAGGAAGGAAGGAAAAATTCTCTTCTATTGGACTCTTCCAGACTTGGTTAACTAACTGGTTGAAAGAAGGGAGGGAGGGAGGCTTTTAGCCCGCTCAGTAACAGTGTCCCTGTATTGGTTGGGGGGGGGATGAGAGAGGGAGGAAGGAAGGAAGTCAGGCATTTTGGGAAATTCTTTTACACCTCTCTCCTTTCACTGGATTTAAATCCTAGCATTGAATTTAGTGAGACTTACTTCTGAGTAAACCAACCTTCCTCCCTGTATTGGTGGCGGGGGGGGGGGAAGGAAGGAAGGAAGGAAGGAAGGAAGGCATTTTAGCAAATTCTTTTACACCTCTCTCCTTTGGCTGGATTTCTATTACACCCCCTGTAGCCAACTGGTTGGGGGCTAATTGTTACAGAAGGTGGAGTACCCAGGACGAACCCTCTTTCTGCGAATGGGCCGTGTCGAAGGGTCTGGGACGAAGAGGCTGGTGGCCCATTCCCCAGGGCAAATGCCTGGAGGCGTGCCAGCTGAGGAGATAATCGCCCAAGGAGAATGAAAAATCAGAGACTAAAAGTCCTAGACCCGTTCCCCAAAGTGCAGCTTGTGGACCAAAGCCTCTTGCCCCAGGGGGAGGGGCCCCAGCACTGCAGGAGAAGCTGCCTGAGCGAAAGTATCAAATAGCTTTTATTTGAAAATAATGTTTTAGAAATATTTTAATGTAATGAGGTAAAAAGAAAAATTATACAGGGGAGGGAGGGGTTCAAGTTTACACATAAGTGTCATATTAAGGGGTTTTTTTTGTGTTTTTTTTTTTACGAGTTATGAGTATATTATAGGGAAGTCTGGGGGGAGGGGAGGGTTAGGGAGGGTTAGGGAGGTTGGGAAGTTTGGGGGGGGTGGAGGGGGGGGGAAAAGGGGTGAAAATGTAATTGTAAAACTTTTGCAATAAAAAAAAAAAAAAAAGAAGCTGCCTGAGCTGGATCCTGCTGCCCAGAACAGCTTCCCTTGTTTCCTTCTGCCAGGTTTATGAGCTTACCCACAGCTCAGATCTAGGCGGGACAGTTTGCGGTTGTCCAAGATGGGCAGCCCCCCGCTCCCCCCCCTTGGAAAGCCTCATCCCTGCAACCCCTCCTGGTTTCACTATCCTTTCACTCAGGAACGGAAGCTCCAGGCCAGCCAGGCTTCGACACGAGATGCCAGTGGCCCTGGTGGCAGATGTTGGCGACCAACCTATTGGGGGGGGAGGCTGCTCAGCTGCTGATCATGGCAGCTGTGCAGCAACAGAAAGAGCCCCCCCCACTGATTTCTCTGCATTGGCCAGTCCAAAGCATTTTAGCTTCCCAAAGCAATTTCTCTGCAATCCTCACCTTATATAGACGATGCCCCTTATTTGTCTATTTGGTTTTTTTACTTACTTATTTATTTATTTTATTTATTAAATTTATATTGCCGCCTATTTGGCCATGGCGACTCAAGGCGGCTTACAGAATATAAAAACCGCATTTAAAAAACAGTAAAACTAATAAAAGATCAAATAAATTAATGTAATAAAATCACCTCCCACCTCCTGCGACAGCAACAGCCATTTAATGGGCTCCATCCCACCCTGGGTCCCCCAGGCCCACTGGCAGAACCAGGTCTTCAGCGCCTTCCGGAAGAGTGTTAGAGTGGGGGCCATTCCAATCTCTGAGAGAATGATGTTCCAGAGAGAGGGAGCCACCACGGAGAAGGCCCGTCTTCTGGGTATCTCCCTTGCGGATGGGACCCGCAACATTCTCTGCCTTCCCGCTCTGATGGGTCGGGTAGATGTGACTGGCAAGAGAGAACCTGGTCCCAAGCTGTGCCGTGTGATTGCCGGAATCTTTTTTTTACTTTTTTAAAGCATTTTTTACTACCTATTTGCCCAAGCCGGTAGTAAAAAATGCTTTTAAATTTTTTTTAAAAGGTTCCCACAGGCGCCACAGTTGATCAGCCCCCTACTTACCTTCCCAAGCCTCCTTTTGGCATGCACTGTGCCTGTGCCTGCGCAGCTGTTTGGTGCGCATTGTGCATGCAGGTGCACAGCACATGTTTGGCGCATGGTATGCATGCGCGGCCAACGAACCGGTAGTAAACAGGTTCAGATTTCACCACTGGCATGTTGCAATAGTTAGGACTGGAAGTGACTAAGGCATGAGTGACTGTGGGTAGGGATTGCCAGTCCAGGAAAGGGTGTAACTGGTGCACAACTCGTAGTTGCACTAAGGCCCTCCTGGCCACAACCATCCCCAGTTCTTTGAGCAGGAGTCGTGAGTCCAGGAGAACCCCCAGATTACACACAGGGTCTGTTTGGGGTAGTGCCACCCCATCCAAGACCAAAGATGGCAATTCTCCCTGAGCCAACGAACCCCAAACCCAGAGCCACTCGGTCTTGCCAGGGTTTAGTTTCAACCCATTGCTCCCCATCCAACGCCTAACAGCCTCCAGGCACTGCGAGAGGGAGGACACGGCATCACTTAACTCACCACGGGCCGAGACATACAGCTCAGTATCATCAGCATATGGTGACCGATGATCTCACTCAACTTCCAGTAAACTTACTTCTTTAGTAAATTTATTTCTTTTACTTCCTTATCTTTTCTCCAGGAGCTCAAGGCAATGCATAGAAGCCTCCCTCCTCTGATTTTCCTCACTGAAACTTCTGTGGGGCAGACTTGACAGATAGGAGCTGGGCCAAAGTTGCTTGGGGTGCCTCTTGTGATTCTTCTGTCTTGGGGGGCGGGAGGTATTTGACTCTGGCCTTTCTGTCCCCACCTATCCTATCCTCAACACAGGTAGGACATCTGGCATCAGAAGGTGACAGCACGCCTGTAAGCAAGGTGGCTCTTTCGAAGCCCAGAGCAGCTGCCAGCAGAGGAAAGCCTCTCCCGGGGCTGGAGGGCAAGGACAAAATGCTGTCTCTTCTGGCCCAGCTGCCCAATTTCCTGAGCAAGAGGCAATGCAGGGTCCAATCTGAGTTGGACTTCCATACAGCAGAAGAGTCCTACTTTCCACAAAATGTAAGAGTAACACGGCAGATTTCTGGCTCAACAGCAACACTTGGTCTTTAGGACCTACCAATGTGGCAGCCGCCTGTGGAAGCCACCCGGTGCCCTTCAGCCCAGAACATGGCGAGCAGCAGTGGTGCAACGGCCCAAGGGCTGTGCTGCGGGTGTGTGCGTACCGCTTCAAACGTGTGTGCCTGAGCTGCAAGGACTGGAAAGGCAGCATTTTTGCCTGCAAACTCACTGTGGAGGAGAACACAAGTGTGCAGCATTTCAAGAGGCGATTTTTCTCCCCCCTAGCATCAAACAGCATTGTTCTGAAAATTGCAGTGGCCAGAGATGCCAAACAGATCCAGGCCACTGATTCAGGAAGAGCTGTGCTGATCAAAATGGATAGAATAGAGCTGGACGGGACCTTGGAGGTCTTCTAGTCCAACCCCCTGTTCAGGCAGGAGACCCTATACCATTTCAGACAGATGGGTGTCCAGTCTCTTCTTAAAAGCCTCCAATGATGGAGACCCACAACTTCTGACGGCAAGCTTTTTCGCTGGTTAATTGTCCTCTCCTTAGTTCTAGATTGCTTCTTTCCTTGAGTTCCATCCATGAAGCCCAGTGATTTTGCATTCAGATCCCCAGCAGGGATCCTGAAGCTGCTCAGGCTTCTGAAGGACCAGGAAGCTGCCCCCCCTCCCTCCTACCTGGAAGTTGCTGAGCTCAGGGTCCCCTTCTGCATCAAACAGCAAACCCAGACCATGCAGCGCGTTTCCTAAGTGCTCCTGGAGGCGACGGGGGGACCCTGCAGGGCCACAGTACTTCAGGGAGAGCAAGCCATGCACGATGCTCTGCTTCTTTCCCCTCTCTGGCTCCCCACCCCCAACCAGGGACACTTCTCCCCCTCTGGGCGCTGCCTGGGGGTGGATCCTTTGACTGCCTCTTTTGCACACCTGGGACGTCTTGGTCTGGGTAACTGTCTTCTGCCACGTGCCTCTGCCTCACATGTTGGCAAAGGTGAAGAACGAATGCTAGGATTCCCTTTGAGAGGGCACTTGGTGTGAATTCTGATCTGGCTCGGATTCGGCCTAGGCAGATGGGCACCAAGCTGGCCAGCGACAACCTGCTGCCAGTTTTTCACAGCTCCACCTGCCCACAGACTCTCTAAAAAGCAGCTGGCACCTTTCTCCTCAACCCCTGTGACTCCTTGTCCTGTGAGGAGAAGAGTTTTGTGCCCCCCGCCCCAAAAAGGAAAGTGAGGGCAAGTAGAGGCGGAAAAGTGACAAAGGGAGCAGGGTTTTGACTCAAACTGGGTTTATTCTGTGACAAGCTTTGTAACTTTTATAATGGCCCATTTCTTCGCAGTGACTCCCTTCCATATCAGCCTTTTGATCAGCTCCAATGGAGTCCGTCATGGGACGTCGGCCCCTCCGGGGAGCTGCCTGCCCACCAGGCGCCTCTCCCGTAAAGCAGCAGCAGGCGCCGGCAGGGCCAAGAAAGCCTCTTTTATTACGGACGGCCTTGCCCTGGCTGCTCCCCTCCCCAGGCCCCCTGTTCAATTTAAGATGTGCACCACTATCAGGCATTTCCCACGATTGGCTGTAAGCCCCCCTTTCAGAATGTTTACGCCAACCAGATTTATGCCCAGAAAGCAATGCAGTTAGCAGCAGATCAGGGCTCTCCAGCTGCCCCCCCCCCCAAGCTTCTGCTGTGTTGAGCGGAGCTGGAGGATGGCTGTGCTCTCCAAGAGGGAGGGGAAGGATGCCCTGCAAGTGCCTGGGGGAGCCGGGAGGACACTTGCTCTCCTGGCCTCACTCGCTCTTTGTGACTCCAGGAGTGTCTTCCTCGTCGCTGTCTGGCACCACCAGATCCACAGGGAGCACACGAAGCGAGTCATACTTGGGGGGTGGTGTGCCCGGCTCAGAGCCGGCCCCTCGAGCATCTGAGGTCCCATCCCCCAGGTCCTCAGCTGCTGCCTTCTTCTCCTCCTCCCCGCAGAAGCCCAGATTGGTGTAGGCCTCCACTTTCTCGCAGACGGACGGGAGGGCATCTGGGGGCCTGGCGGCCGGCTTCCACTTCAGCCCCTTGCCCCAGGAGATCAGCTTCAGGACACTGATCCAGACGAAGTCAATGAGGATCTCCCCAAACTCGATGAGGCACAGGACGGAGCCTCCCATCCAGAAGCCGAACTGCCCACCCAGGCTGGAGAGGAGCCAGACAATCTGCCGTGGGGAGAGAGGCTGGGGTGAGGGCTGGCCGGCTCAGGCATCCCCGGAGCAGAGATGCAGGGATCGGCCTCGCGGCTTGGCCAAACTCTCCTGGCCAAAGGGGGTCTGGAGCTGGGCTGCTCCTTGCCCTTATGGTCCCACACGAGGCCAACATGGAGGTGAGGATCGCTCACCAATCCAGCTCCAGAAGCCAAAGCCAGACTTCTAACCTTTTGAATTTCAGGTACTGAAAATGGACTGTTTTCTCCTCAGCTGCAAGGAGCTTTGAGCCGTTGCTTGCCAAGCAACCCAGTCACCCCATTGCCTCCAGTCGGCCTCTCCCAGTTTTCCCAGGTGCTGACATTATTCCTGCCACATGCAAAGCAGGGCTTGCTGCTAATCATGAGCAAAGCGCACACCCTCCTCCCACGCGACATTCCACATCAGAGGAGGCACCCGCCGTTGCGTTGCCCATCCCTGCTTACCAAAGAACTCGGCCTCCTCTGTGGGGGACGAGCCTTCTCAGGACCTCTGGGGAAGGAGGGGGCTGGAGGACCAGGCCTCTTGCCTTTTCAAAGGTACCACTTACCGTTGTTGCTGCAGATTCTGAGATGGTGCGGTAGTTGTACTCCTGGAAGTAGATGCTGAGCTTGATGATTCCGTTTCTGTGACGGAAAAATAAGGAACATTCAGGAGTCCTCAAACTGTGAGACAAGACCTCCTTCCTGTTTCTCCACACCTTTTCTAATGGCCTGCGGTTTTCAGAATGTCACAGAACAACAGACGCGTAAGAGTTTGAAGGTACCTCAAAGGACCTGAGTGCAAGGTCTGCTCCACCATCCCTCACAGAGGACCGTCCAATCTCTAGCTGGCCCTTCAGCAAGGAACCAGCTACTTTGTGCGTGAACCTGCTCCATTGGCTGAGAGTTCATACAATCAGGATCCTCCTGACATCCTAGCCTGAGCCTCCTTCCATGGGGTTCTGGTTCTATCACGCAAGGCAAGAGAGCAGGTCCACCCGCTCCTCTCTGTGATCCTGCTTTGGATTTCTGAAGAGCGTTGTCCTATCTTGCCCTCAGGAGGACCATACCCATGTCATACCCACCGAGCCTGATCAAGGCACACGGAGTGAACCCATTACTTCCCATGATCTGGACTCTATGATCCTGATGGTGCAAATAGGATTTGCCCTTCTAGCACCTCTAGCATGCTTTCATGAGGATTACCAGCTTCGTCCAATCCTATACTCGCCTTTCCTTTTTCCTAAACAGATACAGAACTTTACATGATGTCCCACCCAGTCAGTCTTGACCATATAGATCAGGGGTCCCCACCCCAACCCTGTTTGAAACTGGGCCACGCAAGCGATGGGCAAGCGCTTATGTGTGAGGCTCCACTCACAGGAGCGGAGGGTGCTAGAGTGGAGGGCACTTGTGCTCGCTCACAAAGCTCCATTCACACATCCGACCCTCTGTGCCAGGCCAGGCCAGGCCAGGCCAGGCCACCAAGGGAAGGTTGGGGACTGCTGACATAGATACTTTCTCTAGGATGATCTATCCCTGACCTGCTCCTTCAGGTCTTTCAATTCCTGAGTCTTCTCCTTCAAAGCTTCTCTCAGGTTGTCTTCTGCAAATTTTTTAAGTGTCTCCTCAACTCCCTTAGTCAAGATCTTGATCAAGATACTGGACGGTAAAGAGCCCTCCAGACCTCCCTCCAGATCGGTGGACTCCTGGGATGCGGCAATTCAGCCAAGTGTGAATAGATCACACAGCATCATCATCTAGTCTCTATTTCATCACTTTTCGAAGGAGACCATCCTCAGAGACTCTGCTGAAGACCTTGCTGAGGTCCAGGTGCCTATGTCTGCACCAGGTCTCAGTCTCCTTCTCTCTCACTCCAGGGGGCTGAGTCATATCCAGCCGGAAGGTTGAAGGTCAGGCTGGGCTGCTCAAGTCTCAGAAGCCAAAGGGGGCTCCGGTGGGCTTTCCTCTGCCCCTGCCAGGCACCCCCACCCTCAAAGCAGAGCTCAGAGAGGACAGAAGTAAAGCCAGGGCAACGGGCTGGAACAAACAGGACAGAACTTCACAGGGACATGTGCAATGTTTTGAACCAGAAGACGAGAGCCGAGACAAAACGAGCTCGAGGAAAGTTCACGGGAAGAGGGAAGCTTGGACAAATACATACACAGAGTATTTTTGACAAGAAGGGAAAGGTGTTTGGTTACTGCAGGGATTGGGAACAGCTGTAGGATTGGCCCTCTGTGCCAATCCTTGCACAAAGGTGCAGGCAAGGAAGCAGAACCGGCTAGGCTTACTCCTCTTGCTCGACCCCCAAGTGAGCTGGGCTCCCACAGCGAGAGGACAGAAGCCCCTATTCGCCTTCCAAGGGGCGTTTCCCTTCCCTTTCTGCACTCAGGGCTGCCCAAGCGAGTGTGGTGATTCAAGACCACTTGGTCAACTTCTCTCCCTCACAGCCCGACCTCTCGCCACCCACGGCCCTCGGGTGAGGAGGCTGCTCCTCCCAGCCTTTCACTCCGCCCAGGAGCTGCAACCGATGCTTCCTGCCACAACAGCCTCAATGAGGAAGACACACACGCACGCACCTGTCCAGAGTCACTTTGGTTGACGTGTCTCTTTCGTAAGACAAAATATGGAAAATCCAGTCCTAGCAAGAGGAAAGCAAAGCAGGTCACGGCAGGTGACAGATGCTCTCACGGGGACCAAGAAGTGGGACGTTTCTGCTTAAATACCCATTTTACTTCCACGGGCTTTTAGAATTTAAACTATTGAACAGGGGTCCCCGGAAGTGTTGCTGAGCCTCCCCCCTCAGAGAAGTGTCAAATGGCTGCCCAGCTTCCCCTGCCCGGCCCTTGGAGAGGCCGGTGAGGAGCCGGCCGCAGGCAGGACTCACCTCTGAGGCGTCGGAGGGCCAGTCCGCCATGGAAATGGTCATCTTGTACTGGGTGTTGCTGGAGAAAGAGATGAAAGGTCAGGCTTTTCCCTTGGCCCCCTCAGCTCCCTTCCCGGCTCTGCTTACCACTTATCCAGCCTTACTTGCAGGTCTCCTTGCAAGATTGGATGCACATCTGCCGATGCTCCTGGCTCATTCGCAGGATGGAGTAGCAGTAGGCTGTAGGGAGGGAAACACCGTCTTGGCACAAGGCTGCTAATTTGAGCTTCAATGTTACCTTTAATTCTGCAGGAGAAACGCCTCGAACCAAAGTTTTATCTTTTTTTTATTTATTTATTTATATGCCGCCCTTCTCCGGAGACTCAGGGCGGCTTACAATGCGTTAAGCATTGAGTTAAGGTGTGCTTGACTCTTTCTGTTGGGAGCAGCACACCTGGGTGTCTAAGAAGGGGCTTTGGCTGGCATTAGCTGCGCTTTCAGATTTCTCCCCCCAACCCAGCCTGGCCAGAAACCTCCAGGGGGCTCTGCAACTCCATTGTCTTGTGGGGTCCCTACAGCTGGGATTGTTCCCTCCATTTCCTCACCCCAGTCAGGATAATCCTCGTTGTTACAGTAATGGGCTCCTTTGGGCAGCGGGTAGGAATAGTGGGCACACTGACAGATCTTCACCATCTTGGCTTGGAAGCAGGAGCGCAGGCAGGCCTGGAAGAGGACGGGGTCCTGCTGGCCGTGTGCTCCCCAAGAGCAGACCCCAGCCCCAGCTACTGGGCGCTACCACCTCCCCCTTGCCGGTTCTTAGCCGAATTCCTCCAAGAGGCCCCCACAGAGGGGCCACAAGAGCTCTTGGGAATGTGACCATCTCAGCCCCCCCTCCCTTCCAGGGCTCTTCACATGAAGCAGGGCAGAGCCTGGCACCGAGGGTGGCTCCTTGGGGAGGGGGGAGCAGCATCATTGCTCACCTGGATGGAGTACATGGTTTTGTACTGCCTTCGGAAGGGGGCCATCTTGCTGCCAGGATGGGTGCAGTTGGCACAAGCCCCCAACTCCTTGGCCTGCAAAGAGGGAACATTAGAGAACCCACCTTAGTGGCTCTCCCTAGACCTGGAGAACAGCCTTTTCCAACTAGGCTGCCCCCCCTCCAGGGATCTTCACATGGGGCAGGGCAGAGGACGAAAGTCCCTCTCTTCCGCAAATGCCTTTGCCCGCCTTGCTGTGCCCCAGCTGCAAAGGGTGGCTCCTCCCAGAGGTCTGAGCTGGTCTCTTGCAGGAATCAGGACAAGGGCCGCACATGGCCAGCCGGTATTTCTCTCCCCCCCGCCATTTTCAAGAGACTCTGGCTAGAAAAGGGCCCCACCCATCGAGGAGGGAGGCTGCCAGTGCAAAGTGTTCCTGCGTGGCAGATTTTTCTAAGGAAAAGCACAAAGGATTATAAAACGAGCGTGCTTGTGCAATGAGAGGCTTATCTGGAACCACCTGGCAACCAGGAAAAAAGGGGCCACCCAGCACACCCAGAGACCAGGAAGCGCCCTTGTTCCCTCTCAAGGACAAGGTGGCCCTGAGGAGTTTGGAAACTTCCTCGGCAGTTTCAGAAGGAGACGGGGCAGATTCAGAAACTGGGCGCCCTTTATCCCCCCTCTTTGCATTTTGGGTGGGTGTCCTCCTCCTCCCCCCCTCCAGAGCCAGAGCAGCTCTGTTCCTTCTGAGCAGCCCCACAGCCTGGCCTGGGAGGGCCTCCCTGGGCTCACCTGCCTTGCCCAGAAGACTCAAGAGGCTCAGCTTTCAAGAGGCTGCAGCTGCTCTGCACCTGGCCAGGGGCGGGGGGGTGAGTCCCCAAGGTGGGTGAAGTGGTCGATCAGAGAGCTCACACGGCCCTTCTGCCCACAGAGCAGGACTGTGGGGCTGGGGCAAAGCGGAAGACAGCAGAGCAGGGAGAGAAGGCTTGGCCTTCTATGGGGAGCCCAAAGCTCTCCCCCACAACAGAATCACAAACATAGGCACCCTGGATTCCCCAGGCCTTGCTTGGTCTGGCAGAGGCATCGTCCACCACCTGCCCCTTGAGCTCAGCTCCCGAGCATCAGTCCCCGGGCGGCTCACTTCCTGCGATGGAGCCCAGCTCATCACACTGGGGCTTGCAGGAACTGGAGAGCACAGGAGGCTAGCTACAAAGCCCAGGACCCATCAGGAGGAGCCAAGGCAGGTCCTCCCAAAGACCACATTGCTCTACTCAAGCAGCAGGCAAGGGGCGAGGCTCCTTCTCAGAGCTGGGGATGCCGCTGTGCCATGTCCAGCAGACGGACCCCATGAGTCCCACCCATTGCTGCATTTTCCAAGGGGGCTTCAGATGCAGTTGAGGCAGCAGAGACCACTCCCAGCACTCAGCTTCCTGCTCTAATCATGTGCCCACCCCAGATGGGGAAGCTGCTCAGTTTTCCAGGTGCAAAGGGAGTGAGTCTCCGGCCTCTTCAGGACCCTATCAGAGGGCCGGTCACTGAAGGCAGCCAGGCCAGGAGGGGAGCCCCCCACAGCTGCCCCTTTTCTCTTGATGGGAAAAAGGCATTAATGACCCAGGTCCCCCCTGCAAGGCCACAGGACTCTGGCCACAAAGACCAGCTAAGGGGGCTGTCGGCAAGGGACCCTCCCTTCGCGCCCCACGCCAGATCAACATCCCACAGTGCTCATCCTCTGGCCATACTGCAGAGTCCCCCAGCGACATGAAAGGGGGCCCCTTCCAGAAAACCAAGGACCCCAACCAGAACACCCCATCACCTGCGAAGCAGTGTAGTCCTCGTAGAGGTTCCTCACGGGAACGTCAGACCCGTTGACAGTGCAGTCACTGTAGGGAGAGCCCATCCGCTCCAGTTCATCCTAGGCAGAAAGGCACGGAGAGACGGCAACGGTTGCTTCTGGCATCCAGGCATGGACGACGTTCCCCCCAGACTGGGCTTCCCTGTCCCCGTTCACATCTCTGGGGAGTGCAGGTCACGCAGGGGTTGCAGTCCTCCGAAGGACTTCTTGGGAACCCACCGCAAGAAGTGGAATGCAAGCCCCCCGATGCAGGAGACCCCTGGATTCCTTCCCACTCCTGGTTGGGTCCCAGTTCTCTTCAGGCGGTCAGCTCAGAGCGGCCCACCTACCACCAGGACGCCGATGGAGGTTTCGGTCCCTGACATGGCGTAGATGCCCTGATCCTTCAGGAAAGGGAAGCTGCCCTGCTCGTGCAGCATCAGCCGGGCTCCAGCCGTGGTGGTGAGGAAGGGGATGTAGTCCTTCTGGCTGATATCCAGGATCAGCTTCAGCCCTGCAGAGACAAAGCCCCACAGACATCACCCGGAGGCGGGGGGTCCTGGGAGAGAAAGGGGGGGCGGAAACGGGTCCAGCCTGTCTTCACTCTCTTTGTCGGGGGTCTTGTCTTGGCTGGGCATCCGGCCACTCTGCCACACCCTGGAGAACTAGGGCAGGCCACAAGCTTGGGGGCCCTGGAACCCACGCTCAGCTGAAGGGCCTGGCTGGTGCCTCTGAGCTTGCAACAGAGCGCTTCTTTGGCTGCCAGGGTCTCCCTGCTCCAGTTTGCTTTGAGCTAGATGTGCCCAGCCTTTGGAAGGGGGCTTGGCATCGACACCCACACAAATTCAGCCTTGCCAGCCTAAGGATAGTTTCCCCCCTGTCTCCAGACCTACAAATGGCGCTGAACACCACAGCTGCAGTGCAGGACCCCGAGACACTTTCTCCCTTCCTTGGGACCAAATTTACTTCAATGTGGGGGGAGAGGCATGGGGCCCCTGCCAGCTCGAGAGAGCCCTCCCCCCATCTCCAGCTGGAGCCCAGCCAGGCCTTGAGACGCTCCCCCGGGGCTCTTCCACACCCCCGGGTACCCACCAAACTCTGCCCCCGGATTGGAGGAGACGAGGGGCTGCTTCTCCACTCCCCAGTTGAAGACGTAGCAGTTGCCGTGGTCTGGGTGGTAGAGGTGGGTGAAGTTTCTGCAGGAAGCCAAGCAGTGAAGATATTATTCTCACAGGGAGGGTCGTGGGGGTCCTGGCACACCTCAGACTGGCTGGTCTGGCCCTTCCCAAACTTGAGGGGGGGGTAATAAATCATCTTTCTGGTGCTGCACTTGGGGTCCTCCAGGGAAACCCTCCATCAGACCCTGAGCTGCCCTGAGAAATCAGAAAATTCATATCAAGCCTAGTGTCTCCTCCTGATTTCACTTCCCAGGGAAGGTTATTCACACACTGGCCACGTTCACACAACCCAAGATGCCAAAATTATGAACGTGAAGGTGCCTCCTGGCTTCACCCAAAACCAGGCAGCCAGCAAATCACTTGTTGGAGGTTTCTCTTGAAACAAGCTGCCAACCCCCCGGGAGTCACAGGCATCCACCCTTCGGAGGAGGCCCTGAGCCATGAAAGACCCAGGAGCCAGCAGTTAACCGAGCCTTGCGTGTGGACCCTGTGAAGCCAGGCCTCAGGGCTCATGGACCAGAGCCCTGGTTTTGACATTCTGAAGAAAGGGGGCCTCCGGAGCTCCCTCTACACGTTCAGTTTCTCTGCAACTGTCCAGCTTACCTCCTAGGGTTGTTGCTATGTTGAAAAGGGGAGGGAGGATATAACTCCAATAAATTCACTGATAAAATTAATATACTGTCCTATTGCCCAATGCTTGTTTTCAGAAAAAAAATGGGCCCAGCCGGCTCTAAGCAAAAGAGCCTTTTTGGCCAGAGACCTTCCAAGAAGCACGAGGCTCCTGGCATCTCCGGAAGGCAAAGGGGGCAACGCTTTCCTGGGCCCTGGGATGTGTTATGGGGACGCGTAGCACTGGGTGGCAGCCACTGGGGTCAGCAAACTATGGACTGAGTGCAAACCAAAATAAGGGGTTTGTGGCAGATGGCTGTTGGTGAGATGTCTTTCTTTCAACAGAAAAACCAAACAATTTGGTGAAGAGGGTCAGTTGCCTCTCTTCAAACAGGAGTTAAAATTTTGGCTGATTGATTGCTCCTGGCAAGGCAATGGCTGAAAGGAAAGGCAGCTGCCCTCTGAGCCGAGTCGGTGGACAAGAGTGCCACAGAGTTGCAGCCAAGACCCAGAGAGGTTCTGCAGGGGTCCAGGAGACGTCCAGGGAAGGGCCATGGGCAACGGGACCTTCGCACCAGAGAAGCACATCCAGCTCAGCCTCGCTGGAGCTTCGTCAGGCCAACCACAGCCGAACCTTCACAGGGAGCCCTGCCGAGGGATGGATGTCTGCTCACCCCAAAGATTTCTGGTATCCAAAGCACAAGCCTCTTGGCCAGGATCAGCTCTGGCAACTGAGAGACCATCCTGTCCTTCCTTGGGGGTGAGCACCCAAAGCCTAAACCCCCCCCATCCCCATTGCACAGGAGGGAAGTCTTCTCTGCCTTGTTGGTTTTGGCTTGAGCCTAGCTGGTCTAAGCTTCTCTGGATCTGGGACCGAAGCTTTTGCGAAATCTTATTTCTGTACACAGGATATTCTTTCTCAGAGGGTAATCCACCCACCCTCTGTGACCGAACTGGACTGGGCTGGAAAAGGAATTAAGGCAGCAGGAAGTGGAGGAAGAGCAGGCAAGATGCTGTTAGCCCAAAGGCTGAGAAGTCAGCACCACCATCCCTCCTTGGATCCCCCCCCCTGACTGCAAGCACAACTTGTGTCACCAAAGGGAGCGACTCTGCAGACCACACACACCCATTGTGGCTTGTGGTTGTCACCACAGTTGGTAGCGCCAAGCATACTCACTTCCTGCTGCATCTTTCACTCAACCCTCCGTCATCCCCTTAGGATCCCTCTCCTGCAGCTGAGGCCTCTGCAGGGGTCAGTTCAGAGCCTGCCAATGGGCAGCAACCAACTCACTTGCGGAGTCCTTTATGGGAAGCTCAGGCACTAGATCTCTGCCTTTTCCTTGATTTACCTCAGGCTGATTTTTATACTCTAGTTTGTTTTGCAGGCCGCGGCACGTGGGTTCACACAGAACACGAAGAGCCGTACAAAGCTCTGCAGTTAAAGAAGGAACCAAGTCAAATGCTAAGTGAATTCTCCTGCACACGTACCTGTGGTTGCAAAGCTCAGCTCCATACAGACACGCCAAGATCATGTCCTCTGCCTGGTAGCCCATTTCAATCCTTTTGCTCAATGGCACTTTGGACAAGATGCTGGTAGACTGCAGGACGTACCACTCGGCCACCGCCTGGGCTGCACTGGTGAACTTCCGGTAGAAGCAGTGGGGGGTGAGGTGTGTGCACTGAGGATGCAACCAGGAGGGAAGGGAGAGCATGTTTGGAAAGGAAGCCTAGCAGCTGTGAGGAGGCATTGGCCTTTTCAAGTACATGGAAATAATGCCAAAGAAACAGTGGCGGTAACAGTTATTGCAGTGAGTTATCCCACATGGAATTTTCTGAGTTGAGCCGTCCCACAGCAAGTTGGCCATAGCGACTTGTCCTGGGGTGAATTGTCCACAGCGATATGGCCATGGTGAGTTGGCTATGGTTAAATGGCCACATCAAGTTGGTTGCAGTGAATTGTCCTAGACTCCTAGCCAAAAGCTCAGAGCTGCCGGGACCACCCTGTGGGGGAGCCCTGCGGGTGCATCATCAGGCAGGGCTGCTGGGGCGGGGCATTGGCATGCCTAAGAGCAGGGGATGGGGGGGCATGGGGGGAATCCTCCTCCTCCCCTGCTTACCAGTTTCAGAGCCAGCTTGTACCTCCTTGCTTCCGGGTTGCCAAAAGAGGAGTAGTTGTAGTGCCCTCCAAGACCAAGAGAGCTGTTCCCAAGAATGTCATGGATGACTGGATGAGCTGCATCACTCTCGTCAATCAAGACCAGGGGCATCTGGTTCCAGAGCTGCAAGTTGAGCTTTTCGCTTAGATTTGCTGCAGGTGTCGCCGATGAATTTTCCTGAAGAGGGTGCAGGATCCTTTCGAGGGCTGCCTCAATGAGCTCATCCAAATCTTTCAGGAAGGGCTTCACCTTAGAATACCTAAAACATGCGCCAAAGAAAGTTCACGCCAGGTTTGGTCATCACAAGTTGAAAATGCAGAGAGGATCCTGTGCAACCACACACACATCTCCAAACAATAATTGGGCACCAGGCCAAGTAGGAAGCCAAACCAAGGGCCATGTCGAAATCCTAAGATGTCCTCCTTCTTGCCTCCTTACGAGAGGGAGGTTCACTACTTTTGAGCTTCTCCAGCATCTGCGGGCTAACCTGTCAGCATCTCCTGCCCAATACCTTCTCTGCTGGGTCAAGGTCAATCAAGAGCCTGGTTCTTACCACGGGTACCAACTGCTCTGTAATTTGGGTTCTTTGGGCCAAATTAAGTTTTTACAGAAGGAAATGAGGAGGGCAGCCTGTGAGTGTTCATGTCCTTGGTCAAAATCACTGGCTTGGCCTTATGGCTCATGGGTAGCCTAGATGGAATCCCATCAAATTTTAACAGCAGTATCAGGTACAATCGATGAATCCCAGTTTGTCCAGAGACCCTCTCGATACCAATCTGGATTCCTGCAGAGGGAACTCACCTGAAAGGACTTGCATTGCAGATGGTAACAGCAGGGAAGGTCATGGTCTTGAAGCCGATGGCCAGAGAGGCTGTAACGTTGTAGGACAGGTAGGTATTGATAAGGATGCCCCACTGCCAGAATACCAGCGAAGCGAAGAGCAGAGTCAGGAAGAACCAGATCAGCTTCTTCTTTGGACCCTCACAAATGATGCGCTTGGGCCCATGGGTGTTGGTGTTGTCGCAGTACCAGACCAGCAGCTCCTGGTAGGTGTATCCAGGGCCCTTCTGGAGGCGATGGAGAGCCTTCACGAAGTACTTCTTCAGAGTCATTGCAGAAGCTTTTGCAAAACAACAGACATAAATGGAGTAAGAAAAAAATGTCCAATTTCCCATTGGTTGCAATAAGCAGCATCTTGAGAATAAGAAGCAACAGAGGAGCCAGCGGCAGGCAGGGTGGTGGCAGCGGTGGTGGTGCTACCTCTCACAATCTTAGATGTTGCTCAGTCAGAGCCCTGAATATGGGAGTAGACAGGGAGAATCTGGAACACTAACCCAGGAGGACAAATATGGCATCATGGGCATCTCTGGAACTTGATGGCACACTTGGCAGAGTTAGGTTCCCAACAGATATTGGGATGGTTGAACTCCCCACCCTCCCCACCCGTAATTACTGTGTGCCTCTTTGAAAGTCTGGTCATTTGACCTGGAGCAGGAGTATGAGAAACCCACTTCTTCCTGTGCATGCTGATCTTCCTCATCTATCAATTGGCAGGCTTAAATCCAGGAAGCCCCCTCTGGCACTCGCTCAACAGCTGTCTAACAACTTTGACAGCAACACATAGCGAAAAGCCAAATGGGCTGCTGAATTGCCAAATACAGGCAGTTGTGTAGATGACCCTACACAAAAGTTGCCAGGTTTTGACCTTCCTCACCAGCATTGGTCAACTCTGAATAGGATCCGTACCCAACATGGTGTCTGCCAGGACTCATTGTTTAAGTGGGGTCTTGTCTCTACCCGTCAATGTGACTGTGGTGTTCCTCAACAAAATATCCACCACATTGGCTAACCGCCGCTGACAGGTCTGTGGACCTACCCTATCCTGAAGGGGAAAAGAGAGGGACCCCTTGGGTGGCCAAGAGGAACGGGCAAGTTTCTCGGAGGCCGGAGGCAACCCTCTAAGTCAGCAGCAGGGGACGGCAGCCATGGCGGCTGCCTCGAGACTGCGACAGATCGGGACAAGCAAAGTGCAGGAGGAAGGAAGAAAAGATGATGTGCTTCAGAGCCGGGTGAGTGACACCAGCCCAGGCGAGAACAACGCGTTAAAGAGGATATTAATAAATAAAACCCCCAGCCTTACTTAGTGGCTGAAGTTCAGAGGGGCTTGAAGATTTTGGGGAAAAAAAGGGGGGAAAAGAAGTTTTAAACCCTTTAAGAACCTTATTTCACCACTGATTGATTGGAGGAATTGCTTATTAACAGAGTTGGATATTTGAACTTCCTTGTTAAAATTGAAATGAACTTGAAAAGAGATAAGCGAAATTAAGGATTTGCCACCTTTAAAAGACAGACAAAGAGATCAAATGGATTGCTAAATAAATGTTTCAAAATGGCGTTTGAAGCTGTGACTAAGTGAAAGTGTTCATTGCGGTAACTTGTTCTTTTCTGAAAAGAACCATCTGACTTGTTACATATTGTGGATTGCCTTGAAAAGATCTAGGCCTTTTTGCACTTTGGAGATTCCTATTCTGTCGTTAAATGGCTACATAAAGAAAGAAGAAATACAATGTTTAATAAACTTTTAACTAACTAGCGCAGCAAATAAAAGACTTGGCACAGGACCAGAAATGGAGAAGCTGATGTTTTACTGAAAACAGACTTTATATTAGAATTAAAAAGGATATGCAGAGTTTTAAGCGTGGAAGTATTGACTTTAAATTGAAACGCATATGGACAGATAAGGAAAAGAAGAAGCAAAATAGATTGGATAGCAATGTTTGAATGTTTAATGGTTTAAATGGTTCAAAATTTAAATGAGTTTTAAATAAAAATAAGAAGTGTTCATGGTAAACAAAGATAGAAATATTAAAAATAAAAATGGGAAGTAAAGGTGACTAAAAGTAATATGTTTATAAAAGCATAATTCGTTGTAACGTGTTTTAGTTTTAATTTGATAACAACGTAGTGGATGATAATTATGATCAATTGTTAATGATTTTAGATGATGTATTAAGGTATACAGATGGAAGTTATAATTGTAATTGCACTTAACATATATTGGAATGATTAATATTAAGAAATAAATGGGGAAACACCCTGGAAGAGTACAGTTGGAAATAATGGATTAATAGATAATATATGGAAAAAGAAATCTTTAATAAGTTAATAGAATAGAAGTTGGAGTTACTGGAAGAGAATATGCTGAGAAATCAGCCAATTAATGAAATGCTGGAAATCAGCCAAATAATAAGTGGAGTTAAGGAGGAGAATGCTGTTAATCAGCCAAAACAAAACATGCTGGAAATCAGCCAAAACAATGGAAAATGCTGGTAATCAGCCAAACAAAAGGGGAAGTTAAGGAGGATAATATGCTGAAAACTCAGCCAAAATATGCTATGCTGGAAATCAGCCAAATAAATAGGTGGAGTAATGGAGGAGAATGAGGAGACTATATTGAAGAATAACTATTAATAAGGGGTGAAAAAAAATGTTGGGTGATTAAAATGAAATGGTAAATTTTCAGATCTCCGTGTAAAAGTTTAAGAATATGATAGGATAGATTGGGTTTAGAAAACGAGAAAAATAGAAAGAAATTTTGATTAATAAATTGAAATAAAAATTGAGTTGTATACATTTGGAAATTAAGATTTGTGATGATAAAATTGTAAGGTAAATATGTAGATTAATACAAAAGATTGTTTTTGTGCTTAATGTTGATGTCAAAAGGAGCAAGGGATAAAAAATTTAGATAAAGCGGTATTGAATTCTGATTTATAATTGAATTTATAATTGAATATAAAAAGGAGCTTTGCATTAGTAGGAGATTAGGATGTATGATGAGATAACAGAAAAATTTATTAAGATGTTGGAATCTATCTTAAAATTGTTTGTTTCTTATTTGTTAAATTCGTGTACCCATTTGTGACCGGACCAAGACTTCCATTCTTGGAAAAAATTTATTTTTTATGTTTATGTTGGAAAAAATAAAAAAAATTAATTAAAAAAAAACAAAAACAAAATATCCACCACATTTTATTTTTTTTAATTTGATTTATATGCCGCCCTTCTCCGGAGACTCAGGGCGGCTTACAATGCGTTAAGCAATAGCCTTCATACTTTTGTATATTTTATACAAAGTCAGCTTATTGCCCCCACAAACTGGGTCCTCATTTCACCTACCTTAGAAAGGATGGAAGGCTGAGTCAACCTTGAGCCTTGGAGAGATTCGAACCAGCAGTAATTGCAGGCAGCTGTGTTAATAACAGGATGCTTAGACCACTGTACCATCAAGGCTCCTTGTGTCTGAATGTCCATCAAGAGCTTACACAGGCCCAATGTCTGATTTTTTCAACATAGATCATCTTGTCCTTGAATGGCTGGGTGGACGGGACATTAACATTTGAACCACTATAAGTCCATGTATTTGCCATACGCTAAATAAATGACATGGAGCAGCCTCGCCCAAATGCTCTACCTGTCCAGGCAGTTTATAATAAGCTCCTGCAACAATGTCAAGTACACTTCTCTTTCCTTTTGTTGTTACACACAACCGTCATCAGGATTTCCATGCTCTGATTCGTGAATTTCTGTCAAGTGTATTTTCTACTTTACATACACTTTAACATTTCCCCTCTTTTCTCTCCTCCTGAGTAAGCTGCAGCCTTCCAAGGCTCCATGCCAACGAATTCCTGACCTCTTTTGAGGATAGCTCCATTTGTCAGAAGGCGGAGGAAGGAACAAAGGGTTCTGCTGAGTCTACTCTTTAGCAACAGGGAAGAACTGGGAAAAGGAATGAAGATGACTGATACTTTGGGAGAAAGGGACCGTGGTATTCTGGAGTTCAGGATATGAAGAGGAGGAAGAAGAGGAGGAGGAGAGCCAGGCTTGTATGCAGGTTCCAGAAAAGGAAATTGGGATGGCAAGCAGGTCAGTTCCAATGACTTGAGATGGTTGAGGAGAAAAGGCTGGGAGATCCTGCAAAGGAGTATTCTTAGAATCACACAATCACAAACAACTGCAGCAGAAAGTATATGGAAGATATCAAAACATTCCAACAAAGATCAACATCGGCTTCCTCAATGCTGAAAAGCTGTGTGGAGAATACGAAAGGCTGGAGAAATGCTAGTTTGAACAGATCCAGGTCCCCCACGCCAGGCGGGTTGCATCCCAGCAACCGAAAGGACCGGTGAAGAACAATGAACGTTTCAGGAATTTCAGGACCCCCAAGAACCAGAGGCCCTTCGGATGGATCTCTATGTTTGGTGTAGTTCTCTTTTGGGCAACTTATTGCTCTTGCCTGCGTTAGAGCAGATGCCATCCTAGCCACGAGAGGTGGGCACAGGCTGGCCCGCAAGAGCCCGGCTGGTCTTGTAGCAGCTTCCAGGAGACGCCAGGATGCATCTCTGCAGAGGCGTATGGGATGTGTAGTCCAGGAAGCTCCCAGGCAGCTCCTTCACCATGACCCCCCAGGTTTAACACTGACCTAAAGCAAGAACATCCTGCAAGGGCTGGGCTCAGGGAATGTGTGGAAGAAGCAAGTCAGGGTGAGCAAAGGGGACCATTTCTGGGGCCGAAGGTTGACAGGCCAGCAGGGATGGATGCAGGTTGCTTTTCTACTTCTTTGGTCTTCAAGATACGTTTTGTTCTGTCGAGAAAAGCCAAGGCTGAGCTTAAAGGCCGGCCTTGCCCATCTCCAGGTGAGCAAGGCCAGGACAGGCATGTCCGAGTCCCTCAGTCCTGCGGGGGAATTTCCCACCGAGAAGCAGGAGGACTCTGCCTCGAAGGGGATGCCTTGGAGGAAGGAAGCTAGAGGCAGGCAGCTCAGCCTGGCAGGCCAGAAAAGGCTCCCGAGCAGCCATTTCTCCCACACTGGAGGCTCCAGCATCTGCTGGGAATGCAGAGTCTTCAAAGGTGGAAAGGGTCCTGGAAAGCAAGATCTGCACTCAAACCTCCCTAGTAGGACCGACTAGACTGAACACCAGAGACTGTTTTGCATCCCAAGGAAAAGATTTTAAATCCACAACCGATGCAGAAGGTCATACGATGTTAGCTGTAAAATTAAGGGTTCCCCCATAAAGACCCAGAGGTTGAAGGGAACCCCAGCAACTACCTGTCCCACTG